TTGCTTTTTTTTTTGTCAAGCAGCCGCGAAAGTTGAGTCAAAATTTACTGTCGCGAACGGCGTTTTCGGGAGTGTTTGAAAAATTCCATTTTTCTCCATAATAAAGCGTTATTTGATCAAACCAACTATACAGCGATTCTTAGGATACATTACCCTAACTAACTTGAAAGTATGAGCGAAATCGATTTTTCGAAGTTTGCCACGGATTTTGAATTTTGCTTGATCGTTACAGACAGTCACTCTTAAACGCGAGTGTTAAGATTGACGGATTGTCTGCGTTTATACAGCTGCTTTTCTTCGTTCTTCCAGCAGCCAACCTTGATCTACAAAACAACACATACCAACCAAGACAAGCATGGAATTCCAAAAACAATTGATCAATCGTTGTATAGTTTTTATGATATTATCATTACATTTTGACTGCTCTTTCAAAGTCATCGGCCATTGTCCCGCAACTGTGAAACACCGTATCCTGCTTCCAAAATTTCAGCTTCGAAGACTCATAGATACCGATTGGTTAGGATGCATTGTAGCCTGCGATAATGAACCAAGTTGCTTTTCCTACAACTTTTGCTTTAGAGAAATAGAAGACTTGGGCATTTGTGATTTGAATAGGTGTTGGGTTGAAGAGAATAAGCATTACGGAAAAGACTCTTTACTAGTCTATGCTTCAGGTTGTGTCTTCCAACAACTGCCCAAAAAAATTAGCCAGGTAGGTCGTCATGCATGATCTAGCTTATAACAAGGTTTCCTGTACAGACTTGATCGTAAGATATTTATAATACTCTAGTTTCGAGTTCTTTTTGCTCAGCCTTAGTCTCGGTTATGTGCGTGAACTCGCGTAATAATATTCAGCTATCCAACCAAAACTCGTGGCATTTTAATCAACTCGTATTGTACCGTAGTACGTACATTCCTTACTATACGATGGACCTTAATAAAAGAAAAGACCACATTTGTACACAATTGAGGCTAAGACTGAGCAAAGGCGAACTTGAAATGGGAGTATTAGAGGGCAATGCGATCAGGAACTAGTGCTTTGAAGGAATCGGATATAATTCTAGTGAGCTCACTAGATGAAAGAGAAATTATTTGAAATTATTTTTCTAAATAACAAATACAGAACAGAGACAATAATAAATACTTTACAGGTAAGGAAGTGGATTTTTTAACATAGAGGTAAAAACCATGAGAACTAGTTATCAAAAATACAACTTTTCGCAAGCATAGCGTGAAGCGCTAAAATTATTTCAATTGATTACGCAGTATTATGGGTCTCGAAAAATCTAAGTCGACTGTCAAGCCTCCGTTTCTTCAGGAAAAGTTCTAAATTTGCGATTTTTTAATTTCAACAAAATGTCAAACTAGAATCATTTATTGAAAAATTGCTGACAACCTATTTGTTCTCTCTTGTTCCGCGATTGACTGTAAACTTCATCATTTTGAGTAATTATTCACCAACATCGCCTATGACAATTTCGACTTCAATTTCTGACGTTTCTTCGTTTTCGTCTACATAAGTATATTGTATTGTGATCTTGGAAATTATTTTCTACGATAAATTTATATTTCTCAACATTATGCCCGCTTTTTAATGCAGTCTTATTGAAAATACAATTAAAACTACTGAATTTAAAGAGTACTCGAGATCTCTTCACGACTTTTGATTAATTGCTTTTTCCCAGTACGTTTACAGAACAAATTAATGAAATTGTAAAATCGCTCTCTTTATATTAAACATCATCTTCCCAAAAAATGAATACTTTTTTTAATATCTAATGCTTACGAATGATTTGCCATATTTCTTTTTTAAACGCTATTCTGTCAATACGTATTGATGGTTTTCAACCATTCTCAAGAGAATTAAATAACAAAAGACACGGCGGCCATGTTGGGGGATATAACAGAATAATTCACTGACAATTCTTTTGTTAAAGTCCTCCAACATGGCCGACGTGGAAACCATCAATACGATTTCGCGCGTGAGATGATCATGGTAATGATAATAGTAATAATGATGGTGAAGAGGATGGTAAAAATGATGATGACGATGATAATGATAACGACGACAATGATGATGATGACGATGATGATGCCGATGAGGAGCGGGAGCTAAAGCTGGAGGAGGAGAAGAAGGAGAAGGAGGAAAGGGAAAAGGAGAAGGAGGAGGAGGAAAAGTACCCTCGAAGCACAGGCAGAACTAACCGACTGACCAGATCTACTAACATAACATTTATCAAACGATGATAGTGCATAATTTATATAAATATCTGTGAAAAACTTTGAAAAAGAAATTGAACACATTTGCAGAAATTAGTAAGTTCAGTAGACCTACAAACAATTTTTGTTATAGTTAAATTTTTCACGCATGTATAGAGGATATTACATGGGCGCGCGGAGATTCGAAATTTATCTTCGAGTGTTCAATTGATGTCTCACGGGTGAGCGCAGCGAACGAGTGAGATATCTAAATTGAACACGAGAAGATAAAATTCGTATCTCCAAGCGGCCATGTAATGTTCTGTTTATTATATAGATATCGATAAAACTTAAATAAAACAAAAGCTCAAAAATTCTATCAACAGCGATATCTTCACGTGAGAAAGATATGGTATCTTCCACTGGTGAAAGATATCAAGTTTTCGACACTAGAGAAAACCTGGTATTTCATCGATATCTATATAATAAAATATGGTATGCACTTTACGTGTTATAGTTTTGTCAGAGAAACATTGGACTGCAAAAACACATACAGGTCGCCCTGTTCAAATACAAACACCATGGACTGAACGATGGTGTATTGAATCAGCAGGCTCAATTCTATTCTTGGTCTAAAAGATGGCAATTGTCAATGAAGAAATAATTGAAACGTTGAATGAATTTGAAGAGCCAAAATCTTGATAAGTAAATAATTATTTTTTACGCATCTTTAGGGTTTTCCTGTTTGCCAACGAGAGGAAAAACCGAAAGAACGTGAGTACATCCTGAAAGATAGCCGTGCCTTTGCATCGAAGCGAGACGAACGGTGAGCTTGCAATGATAGATCGTCTCCCTCCAATGCAAAGGCTTTTAAGATGATGCTGGGCACTGGGAAAGGGACAATTCTATACATATATATATATATATATATATATATATTTGTGTGATTGATGTGTTATCGTCGACATATTTCTTCGGATCAGTCTGTTTAATTTCTTACCATCCCTATCATTTATTTTTTCACTTTACGACGATATTCTCTTACTTTTTTTGCTTGTAACTTGTCACTGTCATTGAAAAAGGACTCAGATCCTGCTCAAATAACAATTCTAGTGTTGATTTATGGTGACGCGCTCGTGCAGATTTTCCCCAACATTTCTTTGAAAAATTTACGCAAACATTTATTATGAATTCTAGATATTATGAAAATATGAAATGAAAAATGGGAGTCCCCGAATTCGTTTACAAGATATATATATTTTTAAATAGGGCTTGCGGCCGTGTTTTCGGGGAAAATAGGATTATGTAAATTGCAAGCTCTCTTAACATAAACAATTTCAAACGACATATACGTTAACATATTATGATTATTAACCCGAAGTCGCTAATTTTATTGTGTTTAAGAATGAGTTCTCAACGGTTAAATTTATAAAACAGTACATTTTGACGGTGCTTTACGATCCAAATTGGCGGACATTGCGTGAATTACTCAAAATGTTGCCCAATGATCTACCTTCATTTTTTTATGTTGTAGCCTTAGTAAATCTGGACTTATAGTAGAATAATCAGAGTAGGTCATTGTGCAAGGTGTTTAAATTATCGCTGTAGAAGACAATGCGCCAGAGCTTCACCACAGGAAGCCCAATCACTGAATACTTCGAAAATGAATAGAAAGCTCGTGCGCAGGAAAGATGCGCACGAATGAACGATCGCATTACCTTAAAAGCTCATTTCTCAGCCAAATTATCCTGCATTCATTGTTCTACCTCCCTAGTTACTGTTGCTATGTCGGACGAGCTAAAATGTGTTTTTGACACACAGCATATAGAGCAGACAACGATTGCTGAAAATTGTAAATGTCGGTCTTAGAATCAACTAATTTGTTTTTCGCTTTTTTTACTTCTTTCTCCTAAACCCAGCAAGATGGATGAAAGTCAACTTATCCTCCATATGCCTCAGCACCACGGCCAATGTACAAGTCGTCATGCCAGCTAGTGGTCAAGTCACAGGAATGAAGCTAGCCTTCGTCAGCGGTTCTATAACGTGCAACAAATCCGATCCTAAATGTGCTGGAAAGTGGGGGTGTTCGTGCTGTAAAATCTGTACCCGAGGTTACACAAACAAGAGACTTGACATCATAATTACGAATGCGAACAACAATCGTATATTCCCAAGCAACAGATATCCTTCAAGTCACAACGTTTGGTATGCTATTCCAAATCAAACGAACGAAGATGAAAACCTCGTGTTTCCTAATCTTACCGTTCCTCTGACCGTTAAAAGAAATGAGCCGTTGGTCGTATGGTACAGCATTCATTTATTGGATCGCGGGCCAGCTTGGAGCATAAGCAATGGAAGAGTCTGCTTCAATGTTTACGTCTTTTATACCAAAACGACAGACTAAAAATAAGATGGTGAGATCTATAGCACCAAAACAATGAGAATTCAGCTAGTGAGCATGCTTGGCGATTCTCGCTCATCAACTAATGACGGCCTGACACTTTCACTGGCGATTACATGTACAAAAAGAGATGCGAGTTGATTCCCTAATTCCTTGAAAAAGCTCTATTATTAACAGAAGAAGTAGCACCACGAAGTAGATTGACGAACAGTTTGTAGTTCACATTCAAATGTGGGAAATTAAATCCAAAAATCAATTATTCAACTATCAACTTTCAAAAATTAACTAGACGTAGATAACTTTTATTTACTTTATTCCTGAAAAATTGATGTGCCTATAAATAGATTTAATATTCTTTTTTTCAGCTATCTTATTGTTACTGACCATAGTTCTATCCTAATAGTAATTATTTCCAGCACGAAAAAAAGGGGGGATGGGGGTGGGGGGCTGTGTGGCAATCATCACATTGCTGGATATTCTACACATAGTCGAGGTTAACCACTGCCTGAGTAATAAAGAATAGACGAGTTTGGAGTTCCAAATGACCGCTGTGTTCCTTGATTACAGACTAATTTACTCAGGGGTAAGCCTTGAACCAGTGTCTATATTGATGGTTTTCATTCCCAAGAGAATAAAATAACAAAAGACACGGCGGCCATGTTGGAGGATATAACAAAAGAGTTCATTGACAATTTTTTTGTTAAGTTCCTCCAACATGGCCGCCGTGAAAACCCGCATCAATTCACAAATTCCAACGGTTAAGTAAAGAATGCAAAACTTCAATTATAATACAAACAGTTTGAAATTCCATGGCCCTTCATGCGAACACTTGAATATTCTAGTCGAGACTAATCCCTGCCTGTCGAGTAATAAAGAACTCGAAGTTTAAGTATACTAAGATCATTTTTATAGAAACCAATTTAGTTAATTTGATAATGGTAGTGAACCTAGTTAATAGAGGGGAAGGGTTAGGAAACCTATTGTTATCAGGTCTCTGTTCGCTTGTGAGCCGGGTTGAACCGGTCTTGACCGTGCAATATGTTTGATTTATGCTCATCCGAAATTGCAAAATAAGCAAACAAACTTTGTCTATGGGATCATTGTAAGGAATATTCAAATATCTCTTTAAAATCTTTAAGTATTTTGAACTAGCAGGCAAAAGAAAGATTTTGGTCTGTTCACTCAGCAGTTCCCAACAATGGTAAAACAAAGGATTGTGCACGGTCACGCTTGAAAAAAGTGAACGATAACCTATAACGATAGTTTCCTAACCATACCCCTCTATTAACTATGTCGTGAATAAATAACAATTTAGCTTAGAAATATGTTACAACACTCTTAGAACTGAATACATTGTATTTGTATATGCTTGTATTTGTGCTCTTTCTATATATTTTGCTACACCAGATTTTTTTCAAAAATCGTGTTCCATAATCTTCGAATTCTATGCCAACTTTTGTTACATAAACCCCTTTTATCGAGCACTGTTTGTGGCACCAGCTACTGGCCGGTTTAAGGAGGTCCCGCGTTCAGAGAATCAACTACGACTACAGAAAGACCACAAGCAATAGAGGCTTTGCACCATCACGTGCCGGCGCCCATTATACAGCTTGGGCTACCTCTGGTTAGTTTGCAGAACAATAACATCCCTTTGCTGTTGGGAATAGTTCCCTTCACAGTTCCCTGCGTCATATTGAAAGGTAGCCGTGCCTTTGCATCGAAGCGAGACGAAAAGTGAGCTTGCAATGATAGAGACCTTTTTTAACACCTTGGACAATTATTCACATGTTTCTATCATTGCATGCTCACCGTTCGTCTCGCTTCGATGCAAAGGCACGGCTACCTTTTAAGATGGCGCAGGGAAGTGTGAAGGGGTCTGTTGAATCCTTTCTCGTGTAAAACGATTGTACCATCTAACATGTCACGTGATGGTGCAAGCCTCTACACTCTTCAAAAAAATTCTGATTTGGAAACGTCTTTGAATTTCCATCAACATCAAATCTCAATTACCATACTACTCATTTCATAATATGAGTCAAAGTTATTCCTTCCCATTGGTTCTTCCAGTACATTTTTTTAGATATCATTTTGCTATCTCGTGCATGCAATCTTTTATTTCATGCCGAAGATACGGAAACTTCTATATTATGAACATGTAGTAATCACGCTGATATCGATATGTAACCTGTGCCATCGTTTTCAAATCACCACTCTGGGGAAATTAATTTTCTTAAATGTATCTATATTACTAGTCTCCTTCACAGCCGTCATACGTTTCGGTCCTAGATCCTCACGGCCCTCTCACTTAGAACCGTGGGGATCTGGGACCGAAACTAATCTTACTTGCCCTGGTAATATAGACAAAAGCATCTTGGACACAAAAGGCGAATTCAGTTAAATTTACAGCGTCGCCATTTTTCCTTTTTAACTAGCTTGCCTTAAACCACGTAGGTTTGCTCCTGGTTCTCTGTTTCTTTCGTCATCTTCTTGCTTCTCTCGTTCTTCTTCATTTCCTGCAGGGTTGGCTTGTTTGTTGCCATCCGGTCGTGGGATTCCTTGGTTTTGGTTGCTTCTTTGATCTTGTGTGTTCTCTCTCTCGTCTTTTTCTTCATCGCCTTCATCTTCTTCGTTGTCATTCTCTTTAAAACGTAAATAAAGTTTAACAACATCAAGATTTAACCAAGAAATTCAGCGATAAAAAATTATATTTTAAAAACATTTTAATAAAAGACGACGTTTCGACGTTTACGTAACGTCATTATCAAGTCAATACGAATAAGAAAATACAAACTATATAAAAAACATCAAGATTATGAGAAATTCTCTTTGCGTTACCACTCTTTTCACTGCTACGCGATGATCGAGACAACAGTTGCGAGAGGGAAATAGGGCAATAAACTGCTGCCAATCAGGGAATATAAAGGTACCGACCAATTTATCTGATTGACGGAAGTGTATTGCCCAATTTCCCTGTCGCGACTGTTGTCTCGATCAGTGTGTAGCAATGAAAAGAGTGGTAAGAGAAATATTTAATTCACCAGTTTGAGGATCAAGGGCACGGCTATCTCACAGATCAAACCCTGACACAACCTCTGGGCTGATTTAAGTCAGGGCATGGCTAACTCACAGATCGAACCCTGAAACAACCTCTGGACTGATCAAAGTCAGGATATGGCAAAACTCACAGATTGAGCCCTGAAACAACCTCTGGGCTGATCTAAGTCAGGACACGGCTAACTCACAGATTCAACCCTGAAACAACCTCTGGGCTGATCTAAGTCAGGACACGGTTAACTCAAATCGAATCGGGATAAAGCTTTCAATGTTTCGCGAAAAGGACAACCGGAAACCCCATTGAAACAAGGGAGAGCCTTCACAAACTCTACTCATGTGAGTTTGAGTACAGGAATCGGACCCAGACCCCAGGCCCTCGCAGACGTGACACTTACCAACCAGTAAACTTCTATAGAATAGGCCCTTGAAACAAGTTGTAGAAAGTTTGTTTGCTCTCTAGTAAATTTTACTCATGAGAATTAAGATGTTCATTCATTTGCTCTCAGTGATAAAATCAGCATGTAATTACTGAGCTGCAAAGGGCCTATTAAGGGAATCAAGGGTGGTATAAGTTTTGTAGCAGTAAAAGGAAACCCGAATATCCTCGATAAAAACCCTCGAAGCGGGAATACTGGAGAAAAACAAACAATGGCTATTTTACCTTCTTCTTGTAAGTTAGGGTTCTTTCCTCTATTATTTCCATCATCTTGCGGCTCAACGTTCTCACTATCTTCTCCGCCAATCTTTTTCTTCTCTCGTCCACCAGGCCTGGGTATTGGTCTTCTGAATTGTTCCTCATGCCTCATGCCTGCATTTTTATGGACGTCTCTAGCCTTTCTATCGGATCTATCGGGATTTTGTTCCCGCTGCTGTTGTTCCTGTCGCTGCTGTTGTGGCTGCTGCTCCCTTTGCTGCTGCAGTTCTTGTTGCTGTCGTTGCTGCTGCTGCTGTTGATGCTGCTGTTGTTGTTGATGCTGTCGTTGCTCATGATTTTGCTGTTGCTGTTGTTGTTCCTGTCGTGACTGTAGCTGCTGCTGTTGTTGCTGCTGTTGTTGCTGTTGTTGCTGCTGTTGTTGCTGCTGTTGTTGCTGCTGTTGTTGCTGCTGTTGTTGCTGCTGTTGTTGCTGCAGGCGATGAGAGTTACCTGCATTTCCAGCATTGTGACTCAAATACCTCTGTACTTTTTGTTCTTCAGTTTCTTGTTCCCCTTCGTTGTCTGCCTTCGATTCTCCTTCCGATTCCCCCAGTGGAGCTTGCCTTACCTATCACCACGGACACCAAGTTTAATAAATTTATTATATTTCAGTTTTGATATTATTTATTTATTTCTACTTTGGATGCATTGTTTTGAAACTTGAAACCTCTTGAGAATAGCCGGTTTAACTTGGGCGTAATGTTTTCCCATTTCAGACCACGTGTCATTCTCTTGCTAATAAGATTCTTTTTCTATTGTTTCCATATTCATGTGTCTTCAGATGCATCTTCAAAACACCTGACATGTTCTGAAAAAGGGGGATAGGCCACCTTAAATGCCATATTTTTTTACGTAGTCCCCTTCGCTAGATCCCACAAGTCCCCCCCCCCCCCCCCCCCCCCCCAAAAAAAAAAAAGTCCCGTATATGCAGCTCGATAGAGCAGCTATTCTTACCTGCTCGTGTCTTTTAGTCGTGAGAGGCTTGGGAACCACTTGGTGAGGTTTTGCTG